TCGTGGCGAGAAACAGCTGAAGAGCAAGATCATTCCAATGGTCAAAGTGCAATGGACTGGAAGAACTCCTGAGGAGTGTACTTGGGAGCGTAAGGACGAGCTTCTCCGGCAGTACCCCGAGTTTCGACCAGATATGTTTCTGATTTTGAGGTCAAAATCCTAAAAAGTGGGGTAAATGTAAGAACCCGCACCATTAATTAAGGTATTTAATTAATAAATTATGCAAAATTAGGAAGTGATTCAATAATTGACCTTAATAATTATTATGAGGCTTTAATAATTATAGTAAGTGAGTAATAATGCTGAAAGTCGCTTTTCGGAAGAAAAGTGTAGATACCGATTCTGCTAGTCGGTATAAATGCGTATCGAAAAAGTATCCCAAAAAATTATAATAAGTGCATGTTAATTACTAGAATAATATGTAGGACTTGTAAAACGAGTTTCAAGTCCAAATAATGAGAACTGGTGCTAGAAACCGGTACTGGCTTTGAAAAGCGCGTACCGGAAAGGTGCTCCGAAAATTATAAGAAAAATGTGATAATTCTTGAAAAAATGTGTAGTTTCAGATTCCAAAGTTTGGGATTAAAATGCTAAGCGTAGCAATTAAAGTTAATACTGTGTGTTAAGTGACTTAACCGCCTATATAAGCCTTAGTGGGCACTAAACCCTAGGTGCCACTATTTTTTCTACGTGAGTGTTGCTGAGCTTGGAGTCAGCCACCCCTTTGTCACCCTTTCTCCTCCATTTGTGAGCCAAGTTGCCACCTTTGCTCCAATTCTTCTTCTCTTTGGTTGAGTAAACACTTGGGTGAGTGTCTTGGGAGGTTGACGTCCCATCTTCTGAGTTGTGGGAGCTGGTTTGAGTCAAGGTTTGGGGATGAGTCCTTGTGTTGGTGTGGTTGGAGCTTTGTGTTGGTGGTGGGAGCTTCAAGGAGTGAACTTTTGTGTGAAAGGATCACTCTTGATCACCATTTTCGTGTGCCTTGAAGGTCAGACCTGTAGAGGCAGATTTGAGAGCTCCAAGAGCCTTTCTTCCTCTGTTTTGAGCTTTGGTGAGTTGTACCAACCTTGATCATGTGTTTGATGAGTAAAAGAGGTGTCTTGGTATGTTTAAAAGAGTTAAACAAATAACCAACAGTAGTATGGCCCTAAATCAGTATAAAGATGCTTGCTTTAACGTAATTAAATGTTAAAAATCCAACCTTGGAAGGATATCTTCACGAAATGCAGTTTCTGCATTCTGTCTTGAAATATCCGGATATCTGCCCGAGAAATATCCGAATATGGGATTTGGATATCCGGATATGGGAATCTGGATATCCGGATATTGTATATCCGGATATGTACAGTGAGATATCCGGATATGGTCCCGAGGAATATCCGGATATTCTGGGATTTCGAAGAACAGTAGCTGTGCTGTGTGTACAGTAGGCTATTGGGGGGTTTGTGGACCCTAGTTTGATGAAGTTGAACTTCTGTAATTAATGAGCTAAGTCAGAATCAAGTGATTAAGGGCTTATGGCATGGTATGGAGCCTTAAGACGTAAACCGCAAAGGAAAGGCGTTGTCTTTAAGTTATATGCTTGTGGTGCATTATTATTGTTATAGTATTGGCCCATAACAGATTGTGAATCTGTGGTGTTTGAACTTTGAGCTGTGGACTCTTGGCTTTGGGTGTTAGCTTGCAAGGTAAGCTTTCGTCTCCTCGGTTTAGCCATGTTGTGGTTCCACCATGTCCCATGGGGTGTGGTTATATGCATGCTGTGTTACATGCTTTGAATATTTGAAATGCTATTGAGCTTTATGTGTAATGACTTTTAATATGCATGTGTTGTTTCATCTTGATGGTAAGCCTGAGTATGTGGCGTCATACGATATGGTGATCCGGGGTGAATGCAAGTGGCGTCTTGCACTAGTGTGGGTATTTGGCGTATATAAATCCTGCATATCTCTGGCCAGTAGAATAGAATTGACACACATGACATGATTATCTGCTGCATTGCACTATTTTAGAACTGATGATGATAAACTGCTTTTGAACTTATATTGCACATGTAAGTGAGCTTGGGGTGAAAGATCCTTGAGGACCCCTTGTCTTACTGAGATTTCTTGTTTAGAGAACTCACCCCACGTTTGGGGAATGCTTATTTCAGGTTCAGGTAGTATGGTGACTGATGCCTCTGGCGGCAGGAGGCCAGAGCTTAGCTGATTATGATATTATGTTGTATTGCTGCCATGACTGGATTTGGGTGTTGTTTATGTTTTCCGCTATTTATGATTATGTTGTTGTTGAGACTGATGTTGGGCATGTTGCCTTATTTGAGTGAGCATGGGGATTGTCCATGACACTTTTGTTAGTACTTTTAGATTGGAGTTGTATAAACTGTTAGATGGTCCGGTCTACGTTGTTGTAGTTCCGTGACTAGAGCCACACTTTGATTATCTATATTATGAGGTATTTCAGTTATCTTTTTTATTGCAATTACATATAGGCGATATTTTATTAATTGATTAATAAGCAAGTTGGTAATGATAATGACATCATAATTGAAAAGAAAAAGATATTTTGCATCTTTAATTAAGCGCTGCTTAATACGATAGTATGATAACATTACCGGATATATACGGGGTGTTACAATAAGCATAATTTATATGTTTCATCCATATTCATAGTTGGTGATTAGTTTGAAAAGGATAAGTAGTCTCATTCCAAACTTGATGAAGATAACTCGAACCTAATTTAATGGTTCTACCTAGGAAACTTGTGTCATTCAAAACTTGATGATACAATTCAGCCAGGTTAGACCATCCTTTTGGTTAAGTGATCTCATTCTAAACTTGATGCTAGATTATTTGAGTTTGAGGAATTAGTAATTGTGACATTCCAAATTGAAACATAAAAATAGTTGTTTGTATAAAAAGCATGCTGGTCTTGTACTTAGTTGAAATGTGATATCACATTATTAGGTTATTGTAAATGACTTAACTATTGGTCTTGTTTTTTAAAACTAGAGAATGGTTATTCTCTTCAAAATAAACTTAAGTTGATAACTATTTGCAAATCAAACTGTTTAGGCATTGTTCATAATTTATAAAATTAGCTTGATGCTTATGAACATGATATTATGATGCTTTATGACATTAATATATGTTCTTCTTTGCCTAATGTTATAATGCTAAGTTCTTGTAGTAGAACTAGACACTTTTAGTAGATTTTTCAATTGATTAAATTCATCATAATATGAAATTCATATTTGATATTCTACAGGGGATGACATAGATGGAGGAAAGCTTAACGAGAGGAAACTTGACCAAGATGACTTGCTTGACGAATGTATATATCACAAACTTGACAGTTCACATGCTATTGCCCATTTTGAAGGAATCCATTTATTTGAGACTTAAATTTGCTATCTTTGTTTTATGAATATTGTTGATTGCGAACTGATTTTCAGACTTATTTTGGATGTTGGGATTTGGATGAGTTTAGATTTTATCTAAAACTCTAAATATTTATTTTGGGATATTGATCTCAGAATAGATTCATGATAATGATAATTTACTTATTTAGATAGAAAATGATGATTGAGTTTAATAGCTTACTGTTACAACTTTTGATTGATCTGAGTTAATTGTTTTGGACTAGATGTGAATGATTCATATTTGTTTAAACTTTACACTGATCACACAATTGGATTGTATTGTATGTGAACATAGGAGGAGTTGTTGAAAATATTAATAATATAGCCCAATTATAAGTTCACATACAAGCCCAATAGGTCAAAGTATAGTCATTTGAGTGCATATAGGTTGAAGCCCAATAACTTTCATTATCTCTAGGATTTTCCCTAAGCTGAATGTAACACTGTTAAGCATTCCAAATTTGATGTCTCGATATAATACTCAAGTGCTCTAAACCCTTCTCTCTCAAATTTATAACCTCCAACATCATACACGTATATGAATTTAGTTTTGGTGTATGGTTACTTGGTTAGTATAAATCTTCTTTACATTATCATTCAATTGTATATTACCATATTATTTATAAAGTTTGATTATCACAATAACTATAGAAAAACTATTTTGTCAAATGATACGCCATTACATTATCAAATGATAGTTTACAAATTTTACATTATAGTGAATGAAATTAAAAATCTTGTTACATTAATTAGTATTTAAAATTTATATTGATGCTTTTTTCTATGAACCATGGATACAAATTCACTTTACGATTGATTTATCTAATGCAGAACGAGGATGTCACATGCATAGTTAAATTGTTTTCATGATTCAAAGATAAGAGCATTTAAGAATTAGCTACACCTTGTATCCAAGTTCACTAAAGGAAAGAAATATTATATATATTGGTGACACATTATGCTTTGTGACTAAGAGTGTGCATGACAACCTTGTCGGAATCAATTCTTTTTTAATTTATGTTCCCGAAAACAATAATGGATAGGAAACTCGTTTAATAAAACCGATTTAATTTTTCGTTTTCGGGATAAACCTATTTAATTTTTGTGCTGGGGAACAGAAAAAAGAATCAAAAAATTCTGATTTTTTGTTCCCTGACACAAAATGAGAAACATTTGTCTCTCTCAAATACTCTCCACCATTACCATCACCACCACCACCACCACCATCCCGACACGACCACCACTACCATTGTTGTCGTACCACCAGTGCCGTTGTCACCACCACCACGATTCCACCGCACCATCACCATCACCACCACCTCCACCTCCACCTATCACCACATCACCACCACCACCATGCCACCATTACCACACCATCGCCACTATTGATGCAGCCACTGCCATAACCACCACCAATGCCACCAACCACCACCAACATCGTCGCAGCCACTGCCGTCACTGCCACCATCGCCGCCACCAACTACCACCATCGTCGCCGCAGCCACTGCCCTCACCACCACCAACTACCACCACCGTCGTTGCAACCACTGCTGTCTCCACCACCACCATGTCATTACAATCACCACCACCACCACCATGCCAATACCGCCATTTCCACCACCACCACCATCGTCGCAGCCACTGTCGTCGCCACCACCATCATTACCACCGCTACCATTGCCACCACCGTCGCAGCCATTGCTGTCTCCACCACCACCATGCCACTGCCACCACCGTCACTATCGCAGCCACTACCGTCACCACTACCACTACCGCCACTAACTACCACCACCATCATCGCAGCCACTGCGTCTCCACACCACCATGTCATTACCACCACCACTGTCGCCACCATCATCACCACAGCCACTGTCATCACCACCACCATCATGCCATTATCGCTGTCGCCACCACCACCATCGTCGCAACCACTGCCGTCACCACCACCACCATTATCACCGCCACTACCATCGCCACCGCTACAATTGCCACCACCACCGTCGTTGCAGCCACTGCTATTTCCAGCACTACCGTGTCATTACCACCATAGCCGCCGTCGACACCACGATCGCTGCAACCACTGCCGTCACCATTACCACCATGCCATCGCCATCATCGTCACAGTCACTGTCATCACCACCACCACCACCGCAACCATTAACACTGCCACCATCGCCACCAACTACCACCGCCACCATCGCCACCAACTACCACCATCGTCGTCGCAGCCACTGCTATCTCCACCACCACCATGTCATTACCACCACCACTACAGCCACTGTCGCCAACAACCACCACCATCGTCGCAGCCACTGCTGTCACCACCGCTGCCGCTACCAACAACTACCACCATCGTCGTCACAGCCATTGACTTCACCACCACCGTCACCACCACCAACTACCACCACCGTCGTCGCAACCACTGCTGTCTCCACCACCACCATGTCATTAAACCCACCACCACCACCACTATGCCATTACCACTGCTGCCACCACCACCACCACCAGCGTCGCAGCCACTGTCGTCACCACCACCATCATTACCACCGCCACCATTGCCGCCACTGTCGCAGCCATTACTGTCTCCACCACCACCATGCCACTGCCGCCACCGCCACCATCGCAGCCACTTCCGTCTCCACTACCACTACCGCCACCAATTACCACCACCATCATCGCAGCCACTGCGTCTCCACACCACCATGTCATTACCACGACCACTGTCGCCACCACCATCACCACAGCCACTGTCGTCACCACCACCATCATGCCATTATTGTCGTCGCCACCACCACCATTATCACCACCACTACCACCGCCACCGCTACCATTGCCACCACAACCACCGTCGTCGCAGCCACTGCTATCTCCCGCACCACCGTGTCATTACCACCATAGCCGCCGTCGACACCACTATCACCGCAACCACTGCCGTCACCACTACCACCATGCCATCGCCATCATCGTCACAGTCACTGTCATCACCACCACCACCATCGCCACCATTACCACCGCCACCAACTACCACCGCCATCAACTACCACCACCCTCGTCGCAGCCACTGCTATCTCCACCACGACCATGTCATTACCACCACCACTACCGCCACCGCCGCCAACCACCACCACCCTCGTCGCAGCCACTGCTATCTCCACCACGACCATGTCATTACCACCACCACTACCGCCACCGCCGCCAACCACCACCACCATCGTCGAAGCCACTGCTATCACCACCACCACCATCGTCGAAGCCACTGCCATCACCACCACCACCGCCGCCACCAACTACCACCATCGCCATCGCAGCCACTGTCATCACCACCACCAACTACCACCACCGTCGTCGCAACCACTGTTGTCTCCACCACCACCATGTCATTAGAACCACCACCATGCCATTACCGTCGCTGCCACCACCACCAACATCGTCGCAGCCACTGACGTCACCACCGACATTATTACCACCGTCACCATTGCCACCACCACCATGCCACTGCCACCATCGCAGCCACTGCCGTCACCACTACCAGTACCGCCACCAATTACCGCCACCATCATCGCAGCCACTGCGTCTCTACACAACCATGTCATTACCACCACCACCGTCGCCACCATCATCACCACAACCACTGTCATCACCACCACCATCATGCCATTATCGTCGTCGCCACCACCACCATCGTCGCAGCCACTGCCGTCACCACCACCACCATTATCATCGCCACTACCACCGCCACCGCTACCATTGCCACCACCACCACCAACGTCGTCGTAGTCACTGCTATCTCCAGCACCACCGTGTCATTACCACCACAGTTGTCGTCAACACCATCAACATCGCAACCACTTCCGTCACCATTACCACCATGCCATCGCCATCATCGTCACAGCCACTGTCATCACCACCACCACCATCGCCACCATTACCACCGCCACCATCGCCACCAACTACAACCACCGTCGTCGCAGCCATTGCTATCTTCACCACCACCATGTCATTACCACCACCACTACCGCCACCGCCACCAACCACCACCATCATCGTCGCAGCCACTGCCGTTACCACCACCGCTGCTGCCACCAACTACCACCATCATCGTCGCAGCCACTGCCATCACCACCACCACCGTCACCACCACCAACTACCACCACCTACCTTGCAACCACTGCTGTCTCCACCACCACCATGTGATTACAACCACCACCACCACCATTACCATGCCATTACCGCCTTTTCCACCACCACCACCATCGTCGCAGCCACTGTCGTCATCACCACCATCATTACCACCGCCACCATTGCCACCACTGCCGCAACCATTGCTGTCTCCACCACCACCATGCCACTGCCACCATCGCAGCCACTGCTGTCACCACTACCACTACCGCCATCAACTACCACCACCATCATCGCAGCCACTGTGTCTCCACACCATCATGTCATTACCACCACCATTGTCGCCACCACCATCACCACAGCCACTGTCGTCACCACCACCATCATGCCATTATCACCATCGCCACCACCACTATCGTCGCAACCACTGCTGTCACCACCACCACCATTATCACCGCCACTACCACCGCCACCGCTACCATTGCCACCACCACCAACTACCACCACCGTCATCGCAGCCACTGCTATCTCCAGCACCACCGTGTCATTACCACCATAGCCATTGTCAACACCACCATCGCCGCAACCACTGCCATCACCACTACCACATGCCATCGCCATAATCGTCACACCACTGTCATCACCACCACCACCATCGCCACCATTACCACCGTCATCACCACCACCACCATCGCCACCATTACCACCGTCACCATCACCACCAACTACCACCACCGTCGTCCCAGCCACTGCTATCTCCACCACCACCATGTCATTACCACCACCACTACCGCCACCGCCATCACCGCAGCCACCCACCATCACCGCATCCACCCACCACCACCACCATCGCCACCACTACAGCCACCGCCCGGCCACCACCACTACCATCACCACTATTACCACCACCACGCCGCCATTGCCGCCGCCGCCACCACCACACCATATGGAAAACAAAATGCAATCTGAAAAAAATTTATGCTTAATAGGATTATATTTTATTATATTATTTGTTACGTTATCAAACACAATTCTCATTCTCGGAATAAAAAAAGAACATGTTATCAAACACTTTTTTTTTTCTCAGAAACTGTTCCATGATACAGAAATAGAAAAGGATTGTTTCTTTTCAGAAATAGTGCCAGAGAATAGAATGGTTGTCATGCACACCCTACTTGTGAAGTTGTGATAGAGATGTTTTTTTTTTTGGAAACAGATAGAGTGGTTTTTTTAATGATATTTTAATGACGACACTTTTCTTTATGAAAATATTTCCACATTAATTTTGTTTAAGATAAAATGTTTATAGCGATGCAATTTGTCTACCTCTTTTAAATTTGTTTCAATCAAACTTGATATTAATTATTTTGAATTTTAATCCTAAATTTTAAACATAAGTATATGCTTCTAAAATTGATAATTAATACTTTTAATTATTTTATATTTTATTTAATAGCTAATAATTAATTGGATTATTAATTAGCTTTCAAGACCATTTTCCATATCGATATCGATCATATTGATATTTGATCGGACCAAATACACTATGAACAGGCCAATATGCACTGAGCCCAATCACACACGGTTGAGTAGTCTGCGTTGAATAGTCTGCGTAGTTCTTCGGTCTGGGCTTGGTGGTCACGTAGTGGATCGTGCCTTGTCTTTGTCCTTCACGTTGGTGTGTTGACACCAAATGGGGGATACCTGCGAAGACACTCCGATGCTTAAGTTAGTATCAGAGGCAGGAATTGTATGTTGTTCATGTAAAGAATGATCGTACCTTGGTGGTATATCGTTTTCTTATATAGTAGTTACGATGTCGCCTTAGTTAAGGCGGCTTGGCTTCTGAGTGGCCAGGCTTGGGCTGCAGGTCAGTCAGAGGACCTGAGTAGCCTTATCTGCTATAGTGTGTAGTGGTAGAGTCGTGGCGAGCTGGAGCTGCCCGTTGTTTATTGGAGTCAAGGCTCAGTGGGGTTGCCTTGGGCCTTAAGTTTACTTCCTAAAGGGGTTTCATACGCGATGTGGGCATCGCGTCTTGTCTGTCGCGATGAGGGCATCGCGTCTTGCGCGCTGTACTTATCCCTTGTGCTTTGCTCTGGTTTTTAATGGGTTTGGGCTTCCTTATGTGTCATTGGGCCCTGATTGGGCCTATATTTTATCCGGATCAATATTGAAATTGTGTTTATCATCTAAATCCCACTCCTATCTTATTTCTTCTTTCCCAAAGTCATTATCAGAGATTATTTTCTTCTTTCTTTTGAATTGTTATGTTTTTTATTAAATTCTTCTCCTCGAGATTCGTCGCCATGTATTAAACAAACAACAATGTTTTTTTTTCATGAAAAAATATTTCTCCTGCCATATGATTACCCTAAAATGATATTATTTTGGAGTTTAGAATAAAAAATGAAGGATATTTTAAAAAATTTGCTTTCCTATTGTAACATGTATTTTACTAAAAAATATCCTTTATTTTTTATTTTAAACCTCAAAATGATGTCAGTTTAGAGTTGTAAGAGATAACTTTAATTCATATGACAGGATAAACTTTTCTTTGTTTTAATTATGCTAATTTTTCATATATTTTTTTTCTTAACATTAAAATAGTAAAAAAAACACCTTTCAATGCATATCCTTTCTATTCCTTTGTTTCCCAAACTAAAAAAAGAAATAAAAATCTGTAACCATTGCGGTGTCCAAATAACAAAGTTCTTAAAAAAATGACAACTTAAAGAAGGAGAATAGTTCATTGTACTTATTAATTTCAAAACGTTTTCAATTTAGGTGCTTTCTGTTATATTAGTAAATAATATAAAGATTATTTTAATAAAGAATGACTACTAAACATTTTAAGTAAATATATTTTAATATCTTGATTAATTTTCTTAACATTTTATAAAAGATAAATTTGTTATCTTTTTTCATTATATTTCTTAACTGAGTAAATTTAGTTTTCCTTTTTCTTCATTGCAAACATATTTTGTTATTCTCTTTTAATTTAAGTCATATTCCACTATTTTTTCTTATATTAAATTGAGTTATCTTGAACCATTAAATTAAAATAAAATAAAGTTATATAATTTAGTTTTTAATGATTGTTTAATAGTTTTCCCTTAGGAAAAATGAAAATAAAAAAGCTAAAATGTAGTTGCAATTTTGCAGAAGGATCAGGATAGAACAACAATCCATTGTAGCATTATCAGATGTACTAAATATATTGGGTATAACTCATATATAGTTTGCATTCAGCAGATGATTTTTGTTAGCTGGACAGAGAAAACAACTGGGGTTGCATTTAGTAAATAGAATTCATGATAACGAGTACGGTGAGAAAAATATTGTAAAATATTATTTTATGTACGTAGTTCACATTAGTTGAATTAGAGTAAATTTGTGTCTCCGTTCTTTTTTTCCTTCCCTTTTTTCCTATTTTGCAATTTTGCGTGTAATTGTTTGTCTGAACAAAATATGTTTTAAAATATTTTTGAAATTACGTAGTTGACGTAAACGTAATGTGCCTTACCTTTACATATAGATATATATTGTATTATATGAAGATGATTATACTTATTACTGAAAAGTTTTACAACTCTTATTATTAAATTAATCATCGTTGATTTTTTCAATCTAATAATTATAATTTATTAGAAATTAATAATTAATTAATAAGTGTACTCAATAAATTATAACTGATATATTGATTGAAATCACCTATCATTAGTTTAGTAGTAAAGTTGTAAAACTTTTCAGTAGTAAAGATAACTTCTCTTGTTATCAAAAAAAAAAAAAAAAAGATAACTTCTCCTGTATTATATATACCTTGTTTTTTTCCAACTAAAACTATAAGTGTGTGTGAGCAAGTGTGCTTCTTTTAACTCTCATGGCAGAGGGGAAGTCGATTGTAAGGAAGACAAGTATGTCTCCCAAAAGTAGTTGGATTCACTTCGATGCTAAAGGCCATGGTTCCTTACTCGACTTGGACAAGTATGATATCATGCGTCGAGTTCAGATTCATGCTCGTGATCTCAGGATTCTTGATCCATTTCTCTCTTACCCCTCTACCATTCTTGGTCGAGAAAAGGCTATTGTTCTTAACTTGGAGGTGGTTCCACATTTTAACTTTTTCACATCAATTGCATTTGTATTTTTATTTTTATTTTTATTTTTTTCCTTCGTTGTGTTTTGTTACATTTCATTCTATAGTTTTGGTTTTGTGATTTTGGGTTTTCAGCATATCAAAGCAATCATCACTGCTAAAGAGGTTAGTCAATTTTTTTTTTTGGGTACCTTTAAATTGTAGATACCTATTTTTTTTTATAGAGTTTAATAAGATGGATTTCAGTTTCGAAACTAAGATTTTAAGTTGTATAAATTATTGGCTTAGGTGTTTTTGCAAGACCCAAGGGATGAAGATGTGGTGCCCGTTGTTCAGGAGCTACAACGGAGGTTGACTGCTGTTCATACAAATCAAGGAGAAGGAGAAGAGTATCCTAGCCCACACGATACTGAAATAGTTGAAGAGGATGGTATGCTTGATTATAGATAAAACGTCATTGATAACAAGCTTATAAAAATTGTCTTTTGATTTGCAAATACAGTGTTTAAGAAATTAATATATTAGAATTTGGGGTAGAAATAAGTCGACTCAATCTACTAAAAAAAAAAAAAAAAGTTGACCCAATTTAAAATCAAATTTATATTCTTGTCTCAAGCTTGACTCACGTTAAGCTCGCGAGCTGATCAAGGGAAAAAAGTTTTGAAATGTGTTAAATTCTTTATGAATTGGCTTAGTCTACTCCCTTAATATGTAGGATGATTATGTAGTCAAGTTTATGGTAAGAGTAAAGTTTTGGAACCTTTCCTAACTAACCTTATAAAATTTCTACATATTTACAAGGACTATAAACTTTTAGGATATTTATGTGCACTCTTCTAGTGGTTTGTCTAGAATCTAATTATTTTATTTAAGGCCCAATCAATTCTCATGGTCTATATACAGTACGGATATTTCAGAATATGTAAAGTGGTGGGTGTTGTATATATTACTTGTTACAAGTTCCACATTAGTTGTATAGGCAACTAACATGAAGTTTATAAGATCTTTGACACTGTCACCCTTTGAGTTAATTTTTGGGATAGTAGCCTCATAGTCCTTAATAATTGATAATTTCATTCAGAGTTGAGGCTACAGAAAGGTCTACCGTAAAACCCGCCATAGACGCTGGCCCTTAAAAGGGTAGCAATGTTACAAGTCAGTCACATTCCCACCCTTTGACCCGCCATAACATTACTCATAAGCACACCCAAAACAATGTGAGTCTCTCCATTGGTTATAAGCATATAACCAAAGATAGATATACCATTAGATAAAATGAAAGGAAAGAAACAACATCCACAGAGACAAAGTGTAGCAGAACATCTCCGAATTACTTCTGACAAGCTTGAAAGGATAGCAAGCAAAGACTACAAGGACACTCAAGAACTTTAAATTTGAATTGTGTGTTAGATTGGTGAAGTTGGAAAGAATATCTTAGAATATCTTTATTATTTGTAAAGATATATTTCCTTATTTCATTAGAATTTAGGTTAGGTATTGGCTAAGCCTATTAGTATTTCTTTATATGTTGTACTCTCCTGAATCAATTCAATATACAGATTTTATTTCAATGTTGCTCTCATCTCTTGTTATTTTTCATGGTATCAGAGCTTAACGAGAGGAATCCTTGTCCGCCTTTCCTTATATCTATTTTCCATAATTTTAATATGGTAGTAGAGAGATATCACCCACCATGAGGGATTGACTTTCACAACTTTTCCCTTTCCCTTTTTCTCTCCGCTTCTCTTAGTTTCTTCTTATCGTTCCTTCCTTCGCCGCTGCAAGTGTTGCGCTCCGTTATCATCGACGACCTAGCCTCTGCCCATCCCTCTGTCCGATTTCGTCGCCACCGGCATCGCTGTTACCATCTGCGACCACCGTGCTAGTGTTCGCAGGTCGTCTCCCTCTTGGTTGCGCGCCATTCCAGTCGGGCCTCCATAGATCTATTCGTGCTTAGTCTCTGCCTTCCTGGATATGTTCGTCAGACCTCCATCTCCGCCGCATTGAAAAATCTGAGAAAGGCATCTTTGTCCACCTTGTTTTCGTCGCCGTCGATCGTTGTCACAGCCAAAGGCGTCGTCGCGGCCAAGTTGCGCATGGTGAGGGGTCCACCGTCAGATTCCCTCTGTTGTCCACAATCTGACTCGTCTTCACCAACCTGCGTTCATCTAATTTATTCTTATTTTTTGGCAAAGCTTAGATCTACTCTCTCTCTCTCTCTCTCTCTCTCCAGCAACCAAATCAAGTTATTGTTCTAGTCGCGTCTCTTTCCTCCAGTCCCATCATCTTTTCTTCTCCGGCCGAATCTTGTTTCTTCCGGCTATGTTTTCTTCTTCATCTTCGTTGATTTATTATTTTTATTTTGATTTTCTTTTGTGGCTTGTATTTGGCTTATTTTATTTTATTCCCACATATGTTTGTGGTGTTATTCAAGTCTGATGTGGCTTGTATTTGATTTATTTTCGCCACTGCTTAGCTTTATTTTGGCCTCCCATTCAGGGGTAGCATTTATCTTCGTTGTTGCCATGTCCGCCGATTATTCCACTTACACTGGCTCCGTCGGCTTGTATTCCAGTTGCAACATTGTCATTTTTCCAGCTTTTCCTTGGTTGATGTCTATCCTAGCCCTTCCTTAGCTGATGTCTTTTTATTCCTTTGCTGATGTCCTTTCGAGTATCGTCTCTTTACCAGCTCTTCAAAATGATGGTTATTTCAGTTAATTTGCTGTCGATTTCTCCGACTTATAGTCTTTTATAACATATTAGTCTTGGGTTATGGAATCCTTTGACTTTTAGGCCTGGAACTTCATCACTAATGACGAGGAATAACAATAGTTTTCTACGATTTCAATTAACGAAGAGGAATATTGTGGTTTTTAGGCATATAGGAGCTATAGGTGAAGCCAACAACCTATCTTAGCAAGACCCGGTGGGTTGGAGTCGGATTAAACCATAACATTTGAACTAGTAAAAGTAGATGGAAAGAGTTTCACTCTGACTAACAACAAAGTTTGTTCTCTACTGGTAAGTGCTCAATCCAACACTTGGGATTAGAGCTGAGGTGATGAGTTAGATTCACAGGGATGACATTGTGCGAAAGATATGAGTTGGATGGGGGTATTGTTGGTGAAGCCAACATCCTACTTTGGTAAAGCCTAGTGTAGGTTAAAGTCGAATCGGACTATGGCCCCTAAAATAAAAAAGGTAAGCAGAAAGGCTTATGCTCTGAGTAATAGTTATACCTTTTGATCTAGTGGTAAGCATTTGATCCAATTGGGGCCTTATTTAAGTTTTTTGTTGGCTTTGGTTAGTGAGATATCAATAGGTCATATGCACTCAAATCCTAAAGGACGTACTACTTACAAAATCGGTTTGACTTACTAGAAGGGTCTTAGGGAGGAGCAATAACAACCTCATTTTCTTTTTATCCAAGCGGACTTTTATCTACTATTTAGATGGGGGAGTATTGGGAGGACATGTAATCAACAAGGGATTTTTCACCTCTTTTGCTATAGCCCAAATACACCAGACGAATTGTGTGTAAGCACGATCTTGATTAGGTGATTCAAGCTTGCGGTCTGAAGCAACCAAGGGCCAAATTTTTTATTTCGGTGAAGTTGTTCAACTCATTTTCAATTAAAACCCCTCATCGCCAATTTTATCACATATTTTCTTGATGTTAGTTTCCTCTGGAGTTTTGACCAATGCCTTGGAGTTTTTAGTTTTGCAAGAGAGAGAAAATTTCCAAAATATTGTGAATTTCCCCCCAAAATATACTGTTTTGAGGTTGTAAGAGATAATCATATTTTGTGTCAGTGGAAAAATATTTTTTCCAAAATTTAATTATCAATATATATATATATATATATATATATATATATAAAACAAAACCATTATTATTACCATTATTAATAAATATAATCCAATATATTTATCTACTAAGTTAATGTAGAAAACGAGATGGCCTACCTCAACATTTATGCCTCATAAGCTACTTTCTCAAGAAATCTTTTTTGATCTTTATATATTTCCTTTCTTCATTTACCTTTTTTATTTCTCTCCTTTATTTTATAGAAATTATCTAAGAATGGATGATTACGATTCTATTGTATTATATTTGGTTAAATAGCAGCATGCATGGTAATAAGAAAAAAGGACATCAAAGAATTGACAAAGAATCTTTTTCTCTTTCCTCGATTTATGATAAGATTTTACCTTCTCTGGGCTAATTGTCTCCTAGATTTACTCTCTTCGTTGGGGATTTCTTTAACATGCACCGGGTGCATGATTTATTAGATGCTCCTTTTCCCAAAAAAAAAAAAATTCTTCCATTTATACCCTTATTTTTTTTTAAAAATTTCTTCTAAGTCCTTTTTGTTTTCCATTTTTGAAGAAGGCCTACGAAGGCCGGAACTGCAAAAAATGGGCTCCTTCGTTGGGTTCCCATCTCTGTTTATTTTTTAAAATATTCTAATTGGTTCAACGCTTCGCGACTAATCCGATTTGAGGTGTGTCCGGGGATTAAGGCTTTAAATTCCTTCCAAAGATGGTACTGGGGAGGATCTGTTCTGTCCTTTATTGGTCCTTCTAGAATACGGGCCTTTGTCAGGTCCATAACAGGATCGAACATATGCTTTTACCCCAACTGCTCAGTTTCCTGGCGTCAACTAAGCTACCATTATTTGATATCTCCGTTCATTTTTTGTATTGATACAATGGCGCTTTCATACTGTTGAGATATATAGTCCCACATTGATTGTGTGGGCAACTAATGTGGCCTTTATAAGGCCTTGGGCACTCCCACCCTTTGAGCTAGCTTTTGGGGTGGTGTATCCCAAGGTTCTTTACATGGTATCAGAGCTTGAGTTGACTATAAGGTCAGAAGTTCGATCCTCACCGTCCTCCACTTTAAAGTAGAATTAAAATAAAAAAGCACAAAAAGGTAAACAAAAAATTGGGCCTGTGCATAAACCACGCTTCAAGCCCAATGGGCTCTAGTGTGAGGGGGCATGTTGAGATATATAGTCCCACATTGATTGTGTTGGCAACTAATGTGGCCTTTATAAGGCCTTGGGCAATCCCACCTTTTGAGCTAGCTTTTGGGGTGGTGTATCCCAACGTTCTTTACATAGTATCCCAAGCTTTTGGGGACGGTGAGGATCGAACTTGTGACCTTATAGTCAACTCAAGCTATGATACCATGTAAAGAACCTTTGGATACACCACCCCAAAAGCTAGCTCAAAGGGTGGGAGTGCCCAAGGTCTTATAAAGGCCACATTAGTTTCCCACACAATCAATGTGGGACTATATATCTCAACACATACGTCTGTTCTTAGTCCGTGACGAAAAAACTCCCCTTCTTCGTTCAAGCAACAACTCGATGATTTTCAAGTGTGAATCCTCGATCTTCAACTTTGTGAAGCTACTTGCACGCAACAAAGAATATGGTAAAGAAACCAAGAGAAAATGGAAATCAAAGAATTACCAAAGAACCTTTCTGTTACGAGAAGGGTTTCTACAAGAGAAGACAACATTTGTTCCGGTTAGAATAGGGAAGTGGCTAAAATGGGAAATTATTGGTACTTGTTTGAATATTGTTAGATGATTTTTTAGTATCTTAGTTACGCCATGTGTGCATGGTGGAATACCTATTGTAGTATAAATAAGAGTTTTGTAATCATTTTTGAATCATCTGAATAATGAAAATCAAGTTTCTTTCTTCTTCTTGATACCATCACGTATCAACTAGTGCTCTCGTTGAGAGTTGAATCTCACCATGAGGATCCAACAAGTTGCAGACTAGCTTCGAACAGAACTCTAGCAAGAGTTGCAATCCATGCGTACAGAATTACAACAACACTTGGATCAACTCAAGGAATCAGTTCTATAATTTGATAATCTCCTTCAAGAATTCATGCTACAAACACATAACTCATCCCCTTTCACATCCCATCAATCAACACAACATCCCGGCAATCAACCACATACCACACCCACCATGAGCAATTGCGTTCTTCTTTTCTAGTAACCCAAACAATTCAGCCAAGAAACCTTTCTCTTCCTCTTCCTAAGACTCAAATACGACCAAGAATCCCATCACCACTAATAATACAGAGGTTCATTTCAAGAGATTGTTCCACCATTCTTTGGAGCAATCTCTCTCTAACTCCATTTTCAGACTACATTATTCATCACCAACCCATTGCAGAAGCAAACAAAATCCCAAAAGCCATGGGTTTGGAACAAGAAAAGCAAGATCCACTATTGTCTTCATCATATATAAAGTAGGTCAACTTTATAATGACCAACATCAAGGGCATCAAGCACCAATCCAGTACCATCAGCAAAATGTTAGGTCTGTTCTGCATACCACTCAACACCCACGACGCCAATGCTGCAAAAGTCCTCAACACCAGAATTCTTCATGCCAATCTCTAGTTCTGTCCTCTATTTTCCTTGCTCGCTTCAACAATTCCAAATTGGCTACAAAATTGAATTTGAGCTCTTTTCTTTGTTTGTACTTCTTAATGGGTGTGTTTGCGCCCCTGTTCCCTTATGGCCTACAACACTATAAGCTTATTTTGTCATCAACTACCTTGCCTCCACCTTATGAGTATGGTTGATCTCAAGGTTTCTCCCCACTTGGACCTTGAGGAGAAGGTCCCTTTTGAAGCGGTGAGTGATGTTACGAGAAGGGTTTCTACAAAAAAAGGCAGCATTTATTACGGTTAGAATAGGGAAGTGGTTGAAATGAATTATCAATAACCTCCCATCGTTTTTTATTACGAAAAAGAATTACACTTAGCTGCCATTGAGTCTCCATATATAAATGGATAATATTTCCCGATACCTCCTAAGAAAAATAAAATCCCAAAATTGACAGGTTAGCGTGAGGTTAAAAATAGGATAAAAAAAATGAAAGCCGATCTCGGGGATAACCGGAAAAAGGCAATTCTACCCCCCCCCCCCCCCCCCAAATTGTTAAAAAACAAAAGTTTTTTTTTTCATTGAATTTTTTTTCCTTGGATCATATGTTTTAATTAAGTATTTTGTTTGGGTTTCAACATTACACAATCAGATTCTATTTTCGAATATATCTTGAGGAATAAATTCCATTTATTGGTAGTTTGTTAGGATATTATTAAATGATTTGTTAGTAGCTTAGTTAGACCATGTGTGCATAGTGGAGTACCTGTTGTAGTATAAATAAAAGTCTTGTAATCATTTCTGAAACATCTGAATAATGAAAACCAAGTTTCTTTCTTCTTCTTGATACCATCACATATCACTTTCCCTCTTTATTTTGCTTTTGGGGTGAGACATGTTACCGAGCACACTTATTGTGCCCTGTCTTTTATCCTAGCGATGCATGTCTCTCTTGCTTTAGGCATTCTGTGCCGCATAATAGTGATATGAGCCTACAGTTTGGGCTTCCATTTGAGGGAAACATTCTGATGTTAGGTAAGGAAATTTTTGAAAGTGATAAATAATTATAATGACACATTGATTTAAAATAGACTAAGTTAGTAGAATATATATGTGAAATGAATGATCCATAAATTTAATATCTTAAGTTTTTAGTTGAGATATAATATCAAACCATGGGGCAGGTTATATTTACAAACTTTTTTGTTTACAAACTCTTACAAACTACACTATGTAGGACCGGTCCTACATTAATCACACAGTGTACGACCGGTCCTACATTAGTGTAATTGCAAAAAAAGTTTGTAAACAGATCTTGTCCCTCAAACCATTTATTATGGTGGATTGTTGTTTAGCGACTGCCTAACTTTAATTTTTTTATTTTGCTACAATTCATGAGCTAATAAATCAGAACAAACAAATATTTAAACTTTACTCATTTAATAAATTACCTAAATTTTCTATATCTTTAACTTGTTAATTAGTTGGTGCGATTCATTAACAACACTAATTTGTACTAATATTTAAAAACTATATTTTATTTCTTTCATATATGAACGATAGATTATGCAATGCAGAGCCACCCTTTGAGTTCCAAGCCCTAGAGGTAATTTTAGAAGCAATTTGTAGTTTCCTTGCTGCACGTACAACAGAAATGGAAATGGCTGCTTATCCTGCATTAGATGAACTTACCACCAAGGTACATGTATAATAGACTACCTTATTTTGTTTTTTCTTTTCTATTGTTTTGATTTTAATTTGAAATATACCTCTTTCATAAATATCGAATAAACTAAAAAATAAGAAGTTTTTTAAAAGTTTTTGAGTGGAATTTTGATGCACTAAAGCTGATTGACTTAGATTGGGCTCAATTTCGAAAGGCAACTTGAAATGGGCTTCTGAGCAAAGCTCGTCGCTATGCCATGGGCATCAACAATTTTGGGTTTTTCCATAATTTATTTTACAGTTTAGGGCTTTCAATAATTGTAAGTTATTTCCTTTTTTGTTAATTATAGATTATGTTTGAGTGTGAATTGATTATTCGTCATCTCATTTGATTTCGCGTAAGTTTTTTTGATTTTGTTTTATTTTGTTTTGCCTATTTAAGGCTTGGAGAACCCTATTGTTATTGGGTTATTTTTTGGTTGATAAAATTAGGAAAAGAGAAATAGTATTTTCTCACAATTCTTGTATTCATTCTTTCTTTCTGTTTAGCCAATTGATTACTGCTTTGACATTATTTAGTAATCAGAGCTTGAACTATCGCATGAAAGGCTAAACAGAACAATGACGATAGAGGTCGAGGTCAAGGTCGAGGATGGCAGAGTTGAGGCTGTGTCGGAAGAGGGCGTGGTAATACCCTTAATAGTGATGACGAACAACCACTCATAGACGCGCAAGACGCTACAATTATAGCTGCAATGGCAGATAAAGATAGACGAATTTAGAAACTCAAACAATTGCTTGCCCTAACACAGTTGGATGAGTTAGATAAAGGAAATGAGTCTGAAAAATCATCTCATGTGGAGGAAAAGATCGAAAACTCATTTTAGAACCAGGAGTGACAAAGACGAAGTCAACTTGGCAATCAATCTTTTTTTGGTAATATTGGGGGTGAAGATTGAGATCCCAAAATTTGACGACACCACTCATCCATATGAATTTTTAACATCAGAGACTTGATAGAAGACTAAAAAGTTAAACTGGTCACTATCAAAATGAGGAAGCGTGCCTCAATTTCGTGGGAACACATTAAGAAGTAGCGAACCAAAGAAGAAAAGTCAAAGATCAAGAGTTAGGATAAGATGAAGAAACTGTTACAACAAAAATTCTTACATATTCGCTACCAACATGAGGCATTTATTGAGTATCATAATCTCAAGCTGCGAGACCTATCACTTGAATAGTATACAACTGAATTTAATTGTCTGCGGATGCGTTGTGACATCGCAGAGGAGGACGAACAATTGATTGCTCATTACCTAGGAGGACTGTGGACTGAGATCTCAGATGTTGTATACTTGCAACAAAATTATTCGTATAATGATGTATATTGTCTAGCTTTGAAGGTGAAGGGGCGGTGTAAAAGAAAAGAAGGTATTTCAAAATTCCAACCTATATTTTCTGATAGAGGAAAGTTATCAAGCTTAACAGCCAACACTAGTGTGGAAAAAGGATCCTTCTAACCTGAAACTAGTGAGAAAGGGGGAGCGACCAATGGTGGAGCAAGTAAGACAGGAACTACAACGAATAGATGTTTAAAGTGCCAGGGTTTAGGACACTTCGCTGCTCATTATCCAAACTGGTAGTATATAACTCTTATCAATACTCCAGCCGATGATATAGGCCCCATTTATGATGAGTACAAAGAAGACCAGGTGGAAAAAGGGTCTGAAGAGGGCAAGATTATCTGTGGTTATGTTGGAGAATCCTTGGTTGTTTGAAGAGTTCAGAGTATTTTTATAGATGGCGATGAGTTGTGGCTGCAACACAATATATTCCACACCAAGTGCACCAATGGTGGCAAGGTGTTTAGTGTGATCATTGATAGGGATAGATGTAATAATGTTGTCTCTAATACCATGGTCGAGAAGTTAGGGCTGAAACTGAGGAACATCCATAACCATACAAGCTTTCTTGGCTGGAGAAAGAAAGCGAGGAGAAGGTAAACAAGAAGTGCCTCGTGCAATTTTCTATCAGCAAGAAATATACTGATGAGGTGTGGTGTGATGTCATTCTGATGGATGCATTTCATATGTTGTTAGGGAGGCCGGGACAATTTGAAGGGAAGATGCATCATTATGGCATAAAAACACATACACTTTCAAGAAGCGTAGATTGACTATTACTTTGGGGCCTTCTGATTTGAGGAATGAGGCAAAGAATATCATGCTATCCACAATAGATTTCCAAGAAGAAGTTGCCAATGTCGTTGAGATATTTGTTTGTGTGGTGATAGAAGAGAATTTCGGTGTTTCTAATATCCCCTTACAAGTTAAGCCATTCTTGAAAGACTTTTCTTATGTGGTCCCTGAGGAGATGCCACCGAAACTACCACCTATGAGAGACATCCAACACTACATTGATTTTGTGCCGGGAGCTACTATTCCCAATAAAATAGCATATAGGATGAGCCCTAAGGAGCACGAGTTACAAAAATAGGTGCAAGAGCTGCTGAAGAAAAGCATAGTGAGGGAGAGCTTGTGTAACACCCTGTTGTACACATGTTTGTTATAATTGCATATGGATTAAGCGCAGTTACAATCATAGCAGTTGAATTAAAATGCGAATAAACTTTTTCTTTTCCGTTAATAAATACAGTTAAGGTTAAAACTTTTTTGTAGCTAAAACAATTAAAAAAATGTAATCATAACTCTTTCGTGATGTAGAAGAATAAAAATATATTCAATCGTATCATCCATCGCTTATTAATTATTACCATGAGGTTCCAATAAACCATAGCCTAAAACTTTCTTCATTTATGCTTAACATTGAACATCATTTACGTTTCCTATAGCTGGGAATAATCCACTTAACCATTAACTCCAATCTTTTAGTATGTTAAACTAGAAATTTTGGGCTTTCCAGAAAGGTTTAACATTAACCACTTAGTTGAGTATAGCTGGAGTTATACAACTGGCAAAATAATTGCTTCAACCAAACTTCCGAAGATGCAGCATTAACTTTAAAGAAAAACTGGTATTAATCTTATCACCAAATAGTTGTAGCCCTATATGTTAGCTTCACCTAGGTCCAAACCTCACACAATTTGGAGACCTATAGCTCATGTTATGCCCATTTTATTATGACATGTTACTCTTAATTATGGGCAGTGCGCTTTTCGAAGCCATTTCCTTTCTTGTAAAGTGCTTTAGCTCTCCGACACTGAGGAAAATAGCATTTTGAGGCCACTTAGTGCGTTTTAGCGCTCTAGTGTGCTCCTCAGGACCAAAAATGGTCCATTTCGTGTTGCAAGCACTTTCGGGGAACTTGGTACCCTATTTTTGGTACCTAATGAACAAGTTATGATCTCTATGATACAACAAGCATAGACACACTTATTCTCTTGGAACTTGCATCCATTTCATTTGTTTTAGAGATGGAACCTATCTCTTTTACCTCACATTAACTTAAACTTTACATTCATCCTTTATCTCATAACTTTAACATCTCAATCTCATCAAATTACCTAGCCTCCATGGCATAGGATTTCAGGTAGTACATTAATAATACATCTCATATACATATTGCTAAGCTCAAATACATATACATCATTACATAATTTGTCTCATAATCTCATTACAAATTTTACATACTCAAAATTTAATCCTATACATGATCATCTATCAAACGTAATGAAGGATTATACAAAAACTATCATGTCATCATCTACTCAATACTGATTACATAAAAACAAAACAGTAATCAATCTATATGTCATTCACTCATGCCACATCTAAACTTTTGCCACGTGAAGCACTTATACCATGACTGCTGGTGTAACACCCCGTGTGCACCCGATGTATTAAACATATAATGGTAATAAGCGCAGCTAAATAAATGCGAAAGCTAAATTTTTCCAATTATGAAACATAATCAAATTACCAAGTGGATTTACTTAATTCTTTTTCAAAAGCCGCCTGTATATAAATTACAATAAATAACTACACTGAATAACCTCATAATATAAATAATGCATCAAGTCACGGAGCTACAATACGTAGATCGGACATGTCCTGATACAATAGTACAACTCAGTCTAGATAAATACAACTTATTCCAATGTGGCATGGACAACCCCCATGCTCACCAAATAAAGCAACATAGACAGCAAATCATGCCTCACATATAATGCCCATAACATAACAACAAGATATAAATCATGATAATATGGCAAGGTGCATGCATCATCTCAACTCAACTCCGACCTCCTGCCGCTAGAGGTATCAACCCCCGAAGTACCTGTACCTGAAAATGTGCCACACACGGGGTGAGATCTCAAAAGAGAAATCTCACTAAGACAAGCCTCAAGAATTTCTCCACCCACAAGCTCACTACATGTGCAATATAAGTTCTAAAATAGTAACAACAATATAATATCAAAATTTGTGCAATGCAGCATATGTCCATGTCATGTGTGTATGCATCCTACTGGCCAGAGAATAAAATGTAGGCATTACGTACGTCTACAACCCACAGTACAAGGAGTACACCATGTACTTCACACATGGGTTTACCATCTTGCATGTGGCCTGACATGCTCAGGGGTTACCGTCTCGTGTGAATATCCCACATACATATACATATGGCAATGCACTAACATATAATCCAGCTCAACACCATATCCAATATTCATCATGCATATAAACTATCCCTCCATGAGGTATGGTGGAACCATCAATGGGTAAAATCGAGGATACAAAAGCTTACCTGAAGTGCCAGAATCCATATTCAAATGCTCTGTATACAAAGGAACCTCAACCGTCACACAATTCGACAATTGCAATATGTTTTGTATGACACATAATTTAATATTCAAAAATCCCAAATTTCATATCCATTAAGCAATGTTTCTCTTTCGTTTACATCCTTTTTAATTCATAATTATCGCATATTAACCCCCACTATTAAAGGTATTAATGTTTCCCAACAGTAACACCGACTTCCTAGGGTACCATGCCCAAATGGGGACTTTCTCAT